TGTTAAAATGAGGATAACAAGATCCTCACCACGCTGTTACGATAGTTCGCGCGCATTTAATTTCGGAGACAATATTATTTCCGTGGCCGTTATGTTCGTTATCACTGGAGGACGGTTATGATTTTTTGTGGATATTAACACCGCTTTGCTAAGAGTGTGCAAAATTAACTTTCCTAAGTTTTTCCAACATTCTTCAATATTTCATTGTCAACTGGAAATATTCAGCTTAAGTGCAGAACACTTGAATTGATGAAAATTCTCAAAAGCCGGAAATAAAAACTTACCTGACGATAGCTACTCAAAGAGTGATCCTTGTTTAGCCATAATCGGTCAATTACCAATTGCAACGTGGCGTTCATCAGTCTTGCGCCAAAGTTTACGACAAAGCAAATCAAACATAGGAACCGAATTACCTCCATGCATGCCATCAAAGTCACGATATACCGACCAAAGAAGAGTGTACTTCGAACCAGGAGTGCGTCACCAAGCCGGTGTTGATTGATTATGGATTTGACTAACAGCACGATGTGGTTGGCTGGATCAATCCCAAACCAGACAAGGGTAAGGACTCCGACAGGTGTAAAGTAATACAGTATTGGGAAACAGGTCCGAGCAAAGAAGCAAAGTGGATCCGTGGAGCGTTTACTACAAATTCCATTAAACACATTTCAAAAAATACTTTATGTATTACAACTTTACAAATTCATTTTCGTCGCCCTCTTAACGCATAATTAGTCATTTTATAAGAAATTTTTAATCCGGGTAAGAGTATAAGGTCGTCTTGGGAAATTGTGGTTGCGCGGGTGCTGGAGGGTCGATTCCGGAAAATGATTGATTTTCTTTCTGCGGGGTAAAATCGGTGGTCGTTTTGAGCGTGAACGAAATGTCACATTTGAAGCCTTCTAAAACTTATCGATATAATGCAATGCGTAATTCTGGATTTTTCAATTTTGAATTCAACTTGGACTTCTGAATTCAGTGTTTTTGAGTTTTTTAACCGCTAAATTCCTCCTCCCACACGGCAAAATACTTACGACGAAACCAAACTTTTGTATTTATTTGTTCAAGTTAAATAGTTAATCGATAAATTTTAGTGTGCAGTATTGTACATTGGAAAGCAAACCGTAATTCTCCTCATCCAGAATTAGATCGAAAATACTAGAAAAAATTGAATAATCGTACAAATTTCTTACCTAACTTTCCCCAAACTTTGTACATATTCCATCCTCTCGAATATTGCGATAAGCCAGTTTTCCGCGCTCCTTAAATCACCCACATACCTGATGCAGCCAAAGTATGCTCCCCCACAAAGACAGAAGCCAAACGTGGTGGCAATATAACACCCGAATTTTTGTATCCAGGCAACAATCCCCTCCTTGTGACCAATCCCACCGGAAATATTCATCTTTAGTGCCCACAACCCGAAAATTCCTGCCAGCACGGCGATTGCCCCCAACAAGAAGGGAACTCGGTCCCAAAAATAGGAATATTTTCGTCGAACCAGAACAATCCTTCCCTGTCTGGGACTCCAATCTATGGCGAGTTTGTAACCGAAAGGGTATCCATCCAGGAAATATTTTTGGTACTGGGATAGAACTCTACACTCCTGAGCAAAGTAGTGAAAAGTTGGGGGAGATTTATTTACAAGCATTTTGAATTTTTAGACGTCAAGTAGAGAGTAGAACCATTAAAGAAATATTGTTTTCAAAAGCATGATTGCCTTAGTTCGTTAGAAATGTTTTGTCCATAAGACATGAGCAAAGGTTAATCGGAATTTTTTAAGTTAGCAAAATTAATTGAACTCGACCAATTACGAGATAAAATTCCAATTTAATCCAATCTTGCTTGGAAAACATTTAATAAGATGGAACAAACAAATTGTAAAAGAAATGAAAAAATAGGATGAAATGTCTTGATGCTAAATTTATTTATGCTATGCGAAAGCTTCCAATATTGCTATTCAAAATGATATTTTATTCAGAAAAGACATGTTTTTTTAAAGAGCTTCATCTTTGCTGGAACAGTATTACGATTACATAACTCAAAATTTTTAATTTGTAGTGCACTAATATTGCAATTGCTAGTAATTTCCTCATCATTCTTGATGGTTAAAGGAAATATTTGCTGACAAATTTAACAATGACTGTAATAAAGCCACCCGTTGCTTAAATTCCCGTGTCGCATAATCTAACAAGAAAATTTAAATTGTAAGTATATATATTTAAATTTGAATGAATTTAAGATGATAATTTTTGTCAGTTAGTATTACGGACTGCTCAATTTGTGTGTTGCGTTGTGCAATAAACTTGCTGAACGAAAAATAATGACAACAAGGAGTGTCATACATATTTACAAATATTTGCCAAGATTGTGATGTGATGTGGAATAATGGGTGAGAAATGTGTTTTTGATTTGCCACTTGTAATGTAGTTCAGCCGGGATGGATTGTCGTTCTAAATTCAATAAGTACGTCGTCATCATCAGTCTGATAACTAAAACGAATTCATAAATATATTACATAATTTCGTATGTAAATATGCAACTTTGGAGGTAAATGGGTAGCTTCCTGCTGTAAACTAAATACCCAGAAGCTTGTGTAATACCTGATTTGGGAATCGTTAGCATCTAAATAGCTTTTTGTGGTACTAAAAGTAGCATTTAATTTTACTTGGGAGATTTTATATAGGTCGTTTGTACCAATTTTATCTATTGATCTGAAAATAATTCTTTTAAAATGGGAATTTCCAACAGATCCAGAACCAGAAGTTTTTGTTAAGATACAAATTTATTTCTTATTGTCAGAAAAGTATTTAAACGAATGGGGCGAATTTTGAGTAATCTTCTTCACGCCGTCGCGCCATAAAATTTCGTACATACTTCTTTTTAGTACCTATATATACCATCTAATCATGTTTTTTCATCTCCCACCGATTTTCATGTTTGATGGCTCAAAATTTGCGTAATATTTAGTAGATCAATAATCCGTAATAATATTGGGGGGGCGCCGAACCCGTTTTTGAGATAGAAGCCAATATGTGCGAATTTTTTGCAAATTTTGAGAAATTTGGTTTTTATCTCAAAATCGTCAAAATTGGATCTAATACCACCGGAAATAATTTAAAACATCATTTTGGACCAGAATTTGGCCACTGCCTCGAATTCGGGCCCCATTTTCCAATTTGCAGGATGTTGCAAAATAATTGCAATTCTCGTATTAATTAGAACACGATCGAAATATAGAATTTATTAAAGGTTATTAATGCATTGTTTAGTGATAGCCTTAATTACTGAATTACTGAAAATATATTAGCCAATTAAATATATGTGATTATAAGATTAAACTTTTAGTTACACTGCGCTTGCAAAATCTCAATTTGAAATGAATCAGACAATTTAAAGCAGCTTGATTTGAATTATGCCTGCAGTTGTTTTGGTTAGCTCCGCATGTAGCACAAGTTCACTTATTAATTTGCTAGATCTTTCTTAGATTGTTTGATTTGATTGGCATAATCTCTTGGATTTGGCGAGATAATCAAGATGAGCTTCTGTCAATTTGAGCATGCAGGAACTGATGACGACTTTTTGCTAATAATTTAAAATTTTGTTAACCACTCCAGACGTTGTTAATAAGTCATAAGACATATCGAAGAATATTTGGCCACTGCCTTGAATTTAGATACCCTCTTGACAAATTCCGGTAAAAATATTGTAAGGGACCGCTTGAGCCAGCTCGAATATAAAGCTGATATCAACTTTTATGATACAACTGATTTATTAGATAAGTTGTTACTAAATAGGAATATTGTAACTAATTCAGAATTATGTTAATCACGCGTAGACTTAACTGAATCATGTTTTTGTCGTGGCTAACTCGAAATTTTGTAAACCTATTTGAAAGGTTGTTAGTAACGCGACAACTTGTTTCAAAAACGTTTAAGAAAAATGAGAAACTCAACTCGACTCTGTTTCCTGTTCGGGATTGTGTTCATTCTACTTGCAATGTTTTGTAAGATAACTTAATTGATAACTTACTGTACATAACATAAATTGTTACAATGGGTGTGCCAGGCTGTCTGATTTTTTTGCAATACGTGAATTTCGTAACATCTAAGTATGTTGCTAAATACAAAATACCAATCACTTTTAGTTCGAAACTCAGCTCAGGTCGCAAAACTCAATTTTTATAGTTTCTAACAAAAAAATCGCTTTTCTTTTCTACAGCTCTGTCATTTTGCAAATTTGGACTTTATCGATTACGATATAATAAATCCATTTTTAAATTAATTTATTGTAAAAAATTTGCGTTTCTTTGCGTACCTGAACTAGCGTTATTTGCATTTAGTTATAAGATACGTTCAATTATATATGTTGCAATTTGCAACATCAGGTTTGTTTTGCCAGTTGCATATACCGTAAAAGTTCAAATAGTAGCCGGGGGTTACTATTTACAAAATTGGCGCCTGGGACCCAGCTACAACATGTTTAAGCCTAAGGCTACTACTTGAACAAGGTCACTATTTGAACAACGGCTAATATTTGAGCTTTCACGGTAAGAAGGAACAAGAATGTTAGAAAATTTAGCATTGAAAACAAATACAAAAATATGCTTGCATGTATTTCTATTTTAGGTGTGGGGACTAATGGAGACGCATTTGACGACTGCTATTATCCCTGCTGTCGTCCATGCAAGTCGAGTCTGTGCTACTCAAAGTGCATGGACAAGTGCGCCCCACTGACGAGAGGATGATTCAGAATAAATTGTGGAGATTGTCATGGTACCGAATTTGCCAAATTGCCAAATTAGTTTTAAATTGATGTGTAGTTAATCGATTTGAACGAATAAAAACATATTATGTGGGTGGTATGGTAGTGGAATTGGTGATATACCATTTCTTTAAAATTACGAATAATTAACAGTAAATTTAATTTTGTTTGGAATGGACTTTTATGCATTATGTATGCATAAAAACATTATTAGTCGCTCAAAGAGAAGCTCTTTAACTTAAAGACTTTAAGTAATATTTTATTTGGTTCTCAGCGCATCATAACAAAATTGCGCAAGTAGAAATTTAGCATCCAGAAGGATCTCCAGACCCGGCGAGCCCAAAGGCCCGTCGGACATTCCCATAAATTTGGAACCTCTTCTGGGCCAGACCCGGGTTTGCCCCGTCACACTCCAACGCACCGTTTATGGCTCTCGTGGAGGATCCGAACTGTCCATGTTGAGCGCCTCCCCTGTCGTGCACGTTTTTCCTGTAGGAGAAAACGTATCAATAAATAAATCTCTGTGCTATAATTAAGTTGCATCGGCCACTTTTTGTGATCACTTTGTCCGTCCGTCAGTCCGTCGACAGCAGGATATCTCCAGAACACCTCAACATAATCAAACGTAGATTTCACGTTGGTGCTTCCAATGTCAAATTCTTGGTAGAGCTCGATATTGGGGACAATCAGATAACCCCCCATAATTCAGGCGGGTGTGGTCCAAAATTTAATTTACACTTAAGTTTTATGAAGGGTGTCGTTTTGAAGTTATTTTGACCATGAGATCGAGAAGGTCAATATTTTTGACGTAATGACCGTGTGGAAGAGGTCAAACACTAAAACTACGTAATTTTCATATGAGTTTAATTTTACATTGTCTGACGCCACTTTGTTACGTTCGGTCTCGATAAATTATTCTCGACTTACCCCCAGAACCACCAAGCGGTTGCCCACGCCGTCGACTCATCTCTTGCCACCATATCGGGATCATTGACGAGTCGGTCATCCCCGAAAATGTCTCTGGACGCGGTTTGATAATTCCATTCGCACCAACTGAGTTGAATATACCCGCGACCGTAGTAGTACTGCCCGGGCGCGTCGCATCCTGGTTGTCGGTTGCTGTTCGGACACTGCGTCTGCGCACAAGCGTACTCCTTCTTGGCGCGAAGACCGTCCGACTCGTGCAGAAATTGGGCCAGAGCCATGGCGGATTCCTGTATCGAGGTTATCCGACCCCAGCGAGCGGCGTGCCGGACAAAGTTGTCGAACTGGGCTTGAGATGGGGCCGGGTACCCGTTATTCGTCACACCGGCACTGAATTGAGCCCGGGTGGGCATATTGGCACCTGAAATTATTAATGGTGGGGGTGAATCGATCCGACAATATCCGATCAGGACGGACGAGTTTTATATCGGGTCGCTTACTAGAATTGGGATATAATCCGACCCGACCGAAAGGATATTGTCGGTTCGGATCGGGTAGATTACATGTTACAGTCGGGTCGGATACAAAATATTGTAATAATTCGCATCATCCGACCCTACCGGTTAATCTGAACGTTTACAATAACACGAAATTTATCCGATCCAATCCGACAATATCATTCTGTAGGATTGGATTGTGTGCAATTAATAGTCGACGGTCGGATCGGATTCTGAACCATAATTGCAATAAACCGGTATGCACGATAATTAATTAGATAGCTTACCGCCATTGTCTGGGGGTGGAGTGCGACTACAGCAAGTGTATTTTTTGCCCCCTTGACACCATTCAGTCGCAGTCGTGTCACGGTCATACTGGTCACACCCCGTGACCGCCCAACTGTCCAGCTGACACCCTGTCTGCCAACAATCCCCCAGAACCGAGGGAGCCGTCAGGCCTAAAATCAGAAAAATTAGTGCAAACATGTTTTTGCAAAGTTTCTTTCTTGTCTGATGAGTGAATGATCATCTCTGTGCGGATGGCAGGCTTTTTATACGGGTTTTGGCACAATAAATTTAATCCATGAATTACACAGGTAAGTTCTGCGAATTGTGGAAAAATAAGGCAGATTTATTTAGAAGGAGGTCTGATCCAATTGGATTATGCTGATTAATTTTATTGATGTTTGTCACAAATGACTCGACTTCTTTGGCAGAAATTTATGCGACGTGACGCGAAGTGATAAATAAATATGTAAATAATTCCGGGTAATACTGTTGTAAAAAATAGAGTGCAGGGGTGTGTTGTTGATCCGGGTGACGAAATTTTTATTATGATGATCTGCCCGTCATCACTCCAAAGTTTGCGAATTTATTGGTATGAACGACGATTAAATGTAAATTTCGGGGAGTACAATGAATGGCAGTGATTTGGCATTTGAAATAAAGTAAACTTTTCCTCACTCTTTCCACTTAAACTTCCGCGTAAGCCAATTAATTTATTACTGTTTCTCAGTAATAAGTTGTATAAAGATTGAAAACATATTAGCATATTGTAGCATGTACTTAAGTACTAAATTGTCCGGTGATATCATTAATTGGGATTAGCCCAGTTATTTTATTACCTCGGGATTTGTGGGCGTGAATTAGGCATGAAGTAGAAATTGAAGAATGGTAAGTCATTAATTGGTTAGGCCGATTGATTGTTGGTCGACCTTGATATTTTATTTTTACTTTTACGAGAAATGTTTGCAAGACAAGAAAAATTGCAATTTATACATTAATGGAGCACCACAGGATTGAAAACATTGCAGAAAAGTCATTCCATAAATTTTAGCACCATGACTACGCAAATCAATTAAAACCCCGATGAGGTTGGCGAAACTTGAAATTAACAAATTATGCGTTTTTTTACCTGAAGATGTTTATGCCAAAGGCGCTAGTGCCTTTAATTATTTATGATACTTAGGATTTGTGCCCAACGACTAGGATAAATGTTTATCGATAATAAATTGTTTAGTTGTGCCATGGATTTTTTTTATTTCGACATGCTGCCGTAATTGCTAACCTTTGAAACTTTGTTGTCACTAAAGTATACTTTATTCCATGGTCAAAATTATCTGCAGACAAGTTCATCGTTGACGAGGTTTGACGACACAGATAGATCGAGTTAAGTATTTTTCTGAAAAAAAAACTTGAGCTTTGGCATAAACGCGTATGATTTTTTATAATTTTAAAGTGTAGAATTATGTGTAGGTCTTAGTTGTATTGCTTCTAGGAATACAAATTTGTATAAGTATGCGAAATTATGCAGCTTTTTCCTACAATAGAACTCTGCCAGCTTATGTTCTTCGAGTTGTATAAATATGCACATTTTCACTCATTTGACTGATTACGATACTGCCAATAAGTGGGTATGAATTTCTTCCTTTCATTTGGATGACATTGAATGATCGATTCCCTCGTTTTCAGATAAATAGGAATAATAGAAATAATAAACACTTGAGTAAGTTAGTCTGCACATTTTTTAAATTGAGCTAAAATTCGAAATGTACCGAAAAATTCTGATCACAGCTGAAAAATATATTTAGAAATTGCGTCATAGGCAAACCCCCGCATTGAAAAATACTACTTCGATCAGCAATCCTTCAATTTTAAAATAAATTTTAATCGGACTTCTAATTTGAGACGTGACGTGATACTGATGTCTCTCCTCCCTAGGTAACGAAATTCGAAAATTATTTCATAACCAGCAATTAAAATCCAATTAATTCAATTACACAATACGCACTAAGTTGTTAGTACCATATTGAAATAAATACGCTTTGTATCCCACTAATCCCACACGGGTCAAAAATAGAAGGAAAACTTGTCACAAGACAGAAACTAAACTTGGAAATTTATTTAGAAATGCGGTTGCATTCGAGCTTGCATCATCACATCGGAAGCAATTTATTTGGTCAGCTCACTTAAAAATAACGTTACCAATTTAAAAAGTATATATACTCTAAATTATATATAAAGTAAACTATACTAAATCTAGAGTAAATTTTACTCTTTATCCAGTTATTATTATTCAGTATTTTTATTATTTTTAAGTGCCTTAATATGTTTCACTCTCGGACCTTAAAAATAATCCGGCTTGCGATGAAAATTTACTCTTCATTGGGAAGTAATCCGTACAAATGGGATTCAGATCGGGGTCACTTTTCTGTTTGTGAAACTTGGAGAAGGAAATTTACCTTTTTTGTGGCCGTGTTTCACACCTTTGCCCACTTGTGTTTTTTGCTGTGGGGACTTGTTCAACATTCGCAGGAAAACGAGCCCTCTTTTCCAACGGCGGTGTGGCTCTGGATCTGGATTATCGGGATCTGGCTCCTTGTAACGTTTTACAATGGGTGGACAAAAAAGTGGGAGGTGGTCGCGTTATTTAAGGGGGTGAAACTTCTAACTGGGAGACTTGAGAGGGGTAAGAACACTACAGAATTTATAAAAATGCATTTTTTACTGATGATCTTTCAGTCGATATTTCAAGCACAAGTACCTGTTCACTTTCATTCATTTGAGCGACTATGATGGATTTCCTTCCATGTGAATGACAAAATGAATGAATGGTTCCCTCATTTCAGACTAATTAACGAGAATGATTCTTCACTGTATGCTTAATACATGGGGCGAAGTAATAAATCAGGTCAAGTGGAGTGAAATAAAAGAAGTTGCAAGAAAATTGAATGAATGTGAATGAAAATCTTGGCTCATAAGTCGGGATGACTTATGAAATAATTTTTTGAATAGGTATGATTTTATGGGTGTGATATTCACTTTCCTTGCGTTATTAAGTAGCGCAAGCTACTTTATGCGATCGGTTAGTTAGTCTGTCCGTCCGTCTGTCCGTCAACACTAAAACTCGAGAACGGTTAGTCGCAGCGACCTGAAATTTTTAACACATGTTCTTCACGGGGGTGGAGTGACACCCTATTAAGGGGGTGTGGCCACTTTGTCGACATCATGTCGAAAAACGTCGCCATGCCCTTATTTCTGCATTTTTTGGACGATTTGCATGAAATTTGGGCAAAACATGTTTTTTGGTGTTGTCGACATGTCACAATATGGCGATTAAGGTTTTGACGACAAATTTTGTCGCCATGCCCTAATTTCGGTATTTTGCGGTCAATATGCATGAAATTTAGGCAAAACATGTTTTTCTGTTGTCTACATGTCGCAGTATATAGCATGTGGTCAATTAATTAATTAATCAATCAGTCAATCAATTAATTAATCAATCAATCATTAATCAATTAATTAATCAATCTGTCAATTAATTAATTAATCAATCATTACTCAATCAATTAATCAATTAATCAATCAATCAGTCAATCAATTAATTAATTGATTACTTAATTACTTTAATTAATTAATTTAATTAATTTGAGCTTTATAGCGCAAATTAATTCTCATCATTCTCAGCATTCTCAGCATTATTGCGCTACTTATGTATCGTGCTTTGCCGCACTTTATTGATTATTAATGGTTTTGTTCAATTCTATTTATTTATTTCAGATTTATTGAAGTTAAAAATTGGAGACATTATTCATTCATGATTCAGTTATTTAAAATTTGAAGATAAATCTTTACACATTTTATCCCATAGTTGTCTTATTTTTGGAAGAATTTCTCAATGTATCCGATGAATTAAGCATACGTGGAAAAATGAATAACATTATTATTCACTCATTCTTCTCGAATATGGAATGACTTAACATTTATTCAATTCTCATTCAATCAGAAATGTTGAAAAACGTAGGCACTCATTAGCCTTGAGTTTACTAAAGAGCGAATAATTTATTAATTCTTTACTAAATGAATGAATATGAACGGCTAGGTAGCTGTGCCCGCCTCTGAATGTTTTGTTGGTTTGTAGTTAACTAATCGCGAATTTCACAATTTTCAGAATATCCAGCCATAAAAATGAAGAGCATATTGTGGAAATTTAATTCCGTTGACGTCCATTTTATCGCCGTTATCTGGATATGTTTCACGTATATCGTTGCAGTTTCGACAATGTTTTTCGTCGTCCCGACACGATCTCAATATTTTTATTCTCTTGTTGCGACTGATAAAAGTGACAAAATAGACGTAGCGTTTATAATGTTTCTCGGATTTGAAGTCTATGCCAAGACCTCGCAGTCGTTCATGATGGCGATGGAGTCATTCTCCATATTTCCGACCCTTCCTCCGACGTCTTTTTGGCTGAACACTCTAACAAGGTAGGTTAGTTACACACTCTTAAAAATAATTTTACTGTAAATGCCTTTCTCAACTTTGTACACATTTTATAGTTTTACACTCTTAAAAATGTAACTGTCTGGCAAAGTATATAATTGCACTATGATTTCTATAGCAAGGAAACTGTACTAAACCCAGAGGAACGTTAACTCGATACAAAGAAATATTTACTAAACGTTTCTTATGGTTTACTTAATTTACAATTTTGAGTGCATTTAAGTACTTTTTATAAGTTTAAGTATGCCTTTAAACGTGCAAGTTTGATAATTTTATTTCAGAGTTTGCCCACAGATTTCAGTTTGTGGAAAGATCGCAATTTTTCAAAAGTTTCAGATCCTAACGACCTACTACAATCAGGCCTCAATCTGGCTTCTAGCTCCGGTTTTGTGCGTCTTCATTCCAGCCGGTTTGGTCATATCGTGCGCCCTCGCGTCCATTCGGTTCCACAGTTTTCTCCCCTTCTTCGAATACCTCCCACTTCCAATTTTGTCCAACAATGGGGTCGTAATTCTCGCTGTGACGTTGCTCCCTTCCGCCGCCATTTATGAAGCATCCAACAAACTTTGTACTAAACTTCGTGCCGAAGGGAAACCAGAAAAAGTTTTACGAAGACGGTTAGTCGCCCTGCACCCATTTGGTGTAAGAATTGGTTCAATCAGTAAAATTAGAAAGATAGCGATCCTGCTGAGCTATAATTTTGTAGCGAATTATATTTTCACCCT